ACCGTTCGGGAGTAATGCCGAGCAGGAAGCTCTCTCGGTTGGTCCACTTTCCGCGCACTTTCAGTGCTAGGCGCGTTCCACCGTTACGAAACTGTACCCAAGATCGTTCAAAACGACATTGCGGGAAGAGGACGTCTCTGCCAGAGACTTCAACACCCCGGCTAATCTCGAGGGTTGGAAGGTCAGTGTTCAGCACTGGTCTCCGATGCCACTCCAAATAGTCTACGAGGTTGTCGATCTCCAGCTCGCGAAGGAAATTTTCAGCATCCATATCCCGGCTGCGAAGTGCGAAACACTTCCTGCACCAAGTCACAAGCGCGAAACAACAACATTACTACACCGACAGGACGGAAACGAACACACATTGTATCATGAAAAGCTGGGAAGCCACAAACAAGGAAACCACTAAGTCATTAGGATATGCATTTCTGCGAGAACCATCGGCATCCCAAAAAGGATCATCCGGACGAGCATGAGCCTCCAAGCCTGGGAGGGCCTGGCATCAACAAACCATCGAAACATCATCCTCAAATTCACCATGCCAGCGCCAGCCAAGCTCTCCATCCGCGATCCTATCCTTTTCGAATATACAACAAGATAATATTGAAAAATGTTCGCAGACTTTCCGATCACACCACACTCACCACACCACAAGACTTCACGCAAGCAAAAACACACACACACACACACACACACAATCCCGCTGTATCCCGCCCGTCCCCACTCTCACCCATGCACAAGCAAGCACACTTAAGAAAACAAACGCACGCACACAGCGGCCAGCCACAAGTTCGAAGCGCATAAACCCACCAAAACAACCTGTCCACGCAAACTACGGAGGCAACAGAGTGTGGTGTCGCTGTCGGATCAGCGAGGCCTGCAGCAACGGACGTGCAGTGCTTCGGCCTCTGGCAGCTGGTACAGGAAGCCCAGCCCTGGATGCTCACCCCACAACTTCCAGCCGCGCGTGTGGAAGGCAGCGAGGCCGTCTCCCAGCAGCCGCAAGCAAGGAAGACACGGCTGGCAGGGGCTTGATGGTGGCCGGCCAATAAAACTGATAGATTTCGGTTTCTCTGCAGTCGGCCAGCCAATAGAACCAGAGCCACTGCGCCTGCTTTTCCAAGAATCCCCACCCAATCTTGGGGGTCAAGTGTTTGGACTTAAGTCTATACGTTGACATCGAAGCAAGATTCATAAATTTCAGTTCAAGTGTACTGGGGCCATTGGCACGGAAGTGGGGCCTCGGCTTGAAGAAGACTGCCGCCGAGTATGCTCGCTGTGGCACGACTTCGCCCCAGGGCCATTGCCTTGAAATCTGCCATCAAGAACACGTGTTCTGGAAGTGACTGTAAAAACTTTAGATCGAAACAGATTCACGATCAGTTTAATGCCTCACTCATGCTGTACAAAGCCGCTCGTTGGCATTGTATCACAGTCGAATGCACCTGTTACCGAGATTTCCCGACCGCTTCAAGCTAGTTTTGCCTTGCACACACGTCTTGAAGAACACAGAAGGTGGGAGCTCCCCGCCAGCTCATGTCGTAGCCGTGGTCGGCATGATCGGGATCGTCGTCGTCATGACTGTTATGATCATCGCTTTGCCCATCAGACTTATCATCGTCATGCCCACAATGCGGCAATCCTGACCGACATTAGCCACTCACGTTGCAATTGTGAAACATCATGAGAAAAATGTTTTTTTCTCACTAGTGCCTTCCTGTGTAAGCTAATACTCATAGACAACTCCCATCACAGTACACATGACAAATATTCTTCTTGTTCTTGAAGATCCCCATCACAATCGGCATCAGCAGGATCAATAAGATCACTAGCACGAGTATCAATCGCTGCCCCTTCTTCGTGCTGACTAGCAGTATCTGGGCAGCGGCGGCACGCTACGATGACACCGCGTGGTATAAAGTAGGCAATGCACGTTGATCATGCTCTATCTTCACCTCGTGATGTCACCAGCATGCTGCTAGTGGGTTGGCTGTAGCATATCTGACACAACCGAAAAACATTTCATGGCTGATATCTATATTCGCCAACGCCGAGGGCATACAGGGCATGGCCAGCGGTCGTAGCAAACTGCTCTGCGTTCGAGATACACGCATCCCAAAGACTCCAGCTCGCTGTCAGGCATCGCCATGAACAGTTCAAGGCTTCCTCGCCTGTAGGTCATGCCCCACCTGGTGCCTGGCAGAAGTGATGCTTTCTTCCTGTCCTTGGGCTGCAAAGAAAACCCTGGGTACAGCCGGATTCCCACACTGTACACATGGATAAACAAGGGGAGCATCCGCGACTGACCCGGTCAGCTTGCCCATCCACGAAGGCAGCACGAACTCCGCCTTCTGCCCTCCGAGCATCCCACAAATGTTGCCCGACTTGGGGCTAAACCTCAAGTCTCTAGCTTTGCAAGGGCAGCCAGTGTTTCAATGTTGGTATTTTAGGCCCCTCTGTGCGGCCGAACCATCTGCATCCGTATGTGTAGTATACATGTAGACGATCAGGTCCAGCGATGGATGCTTCGACCTTCTCGCTCATCGATCCTAGTAACATCATCTATCAATTCATCTAAATCTAGCAGTCTACGAATGTCGTATTGCACGCACCTGCAAACACGTGATCGAATTATTCTAAGCACTGCCTCCTCCAAACAAAGATCCGGTGTGACCATGGGGCGCCAGTGGCCTACAGCGCACCCATGATGTATATGGACCTACATGGACTTCAGTAACATGCGGAGGAGAGGCCAGAAGCCAATCTCGCCGGCGATCAAGCCCTGCGCCCGAGTAAAGTCGGCAGCACCAGACGGGACCAGGCCCAGCGAAAAGGAATCATGCTTGCTCCATCTTCCGTCAACTTGCACCTGCTTGCGAGCATGATCTATACGAAGTCTATAAGCCTTCGAATGCTGTCGGAATAACTCCTGAAATCATGGTAGAAACTGCCCGGTTCGGTGCGGGATGTGGTCCCTCTCGGGAGGCTGCTATGTGCTGTGTCATCCCACAGGGAACTGTGCCACTCAGCAAAGGCGCTGTCGTCGAACATAGCAGGGTGCAGTTATACACTCAAAATGGATACAACTGCCCCTGTCAACCGCAAGCTGAGGCCGCCGCCGAAATGCTGAAGGATCCGTCGGCCGAATCCGGTTTCAACTCGAAGCCCACAAGTCCGACGAGATGCCGGGGGTGCATGACGAGGCCCCCCTGGATGGAAGAACCATCCATGTTCGTGGGGCTGGCTGCGGGGGTTCAATTTCATTATCTTGTGGCTGTTACTTTGGTTTGGCGCCCGGTGCCCTCCTGGATGCGCAGCATTGGGTGGACTTCTTTGAACTGCCTTGGAGCGCATGTTCGGCTGACATAATTACACTTCGAAAGTTTAACCAGGACGGGGGTTTCGTTGGGCTTTCACGCAGTGCCTTTCAACTACCATTGCCCGCAGAAGCCCAACGAACCTTCCTCGTGAACAGGCAGGCACTCTTCGCTTGGAACTCACAGCGGCATACTCACACGACAGAACAGGAGGAGTCGCTGAACCCCTTCCAAGTTCTGAAGCTCCATGAAGCTGCATAACTTCAACCCCCGCTGCCATGAGCCGAGAACACCGCTCAAAACGTCGAGCTCCCAAGTTTCCCAAATTATTCTTACGCCTCAGGCGCCTTCCGCTAACATGCCAAGATGCCAGACGGTTGGGACCTGGCTGACTTCAAAGGCTCTGAGAAGTGAAAAGACCTCCGACTCGAGCTCGAAAGTGCTGTGCTGCCATTCCTTTTGCTTTGAGGATCGAGGCTAGGAGGAGGCTGCAGGGTTCCAGGCTTGGGCGTGTAGACTAGCTTGGAAAACAACCCCGGTTTCCTTCTGGGAGCTGTAGATTTGCGACTTGGACATGGCTTACTAATTTCTGAACAAGATCTTCGCCACGCACCGCCGCATGCGTCATTGCTTCAATGCACGCAGCATCGCAGGGTAGCCCTGTCAGACAAAGGCTTGGACATAAACAAACCCGCGGCTTTCATGCTCCCCACACAGTCGGTACCTTCACCAACATCTCTTTTCTTTCAGGTCGCTCTCAGCGGACCTGCAAAACCCAAGGAGCCGTGGCACACACAAACGTTTGCCTTGCATGGAACATCATGGAACCGTTCGCATCGCGACATTCCGCCATGCTCTTTCCGATGCCAGCCGAAGTCTGCACCGGACACGGAAAGAATTATCAACTAGACAAATGACCTGCCAAACAACGCGCTATCTTTTTGAGAAGGTTGCATGTCGAACATGTTGTGGACTCAACTCTCCTGCAGAACCCCAAAACCAAATTCTACGGCTCGTTAACAGGATGCCGAGCGTCTCGAGCTTCGTGCGAGAGCCGGTCGGCCGCCTTGTTCCTTCCGCGATTGCGCCACCTTGTGTGTAGCTATGTACTCTGCGACAAGGACCCCGTGATGTACTGTATGCAAGCTAGCATAATATGCACGTTTGTGTAGCACTGTTTCATGAATGAGGGTCGCGGGACATTGCTTCTGGGAACTTGACGCTTCGCAACCTTTGCTGTTCTTCAGTTGCAGGTTTCGACAGACCTCCAGCCCAGAACTGTTCTACTGAGTCACGGCTTTGGCAAGCGACGTGCCGTTATCTATTGAATCTGTGCCACAGCCATTCGGGCTTGAGCAATTACCGCATTGCGGGCGGCTTTAGGAGTTGCTAGTTTTTCGCGGAACTTAAAGAATTAAGGACCACTGGTCACTAGTCTTCGTCTTGTCAAGCGATGTGGTGGGTTGCAGGGTTGGGAAACATGGCAAAGCTACTTCACAAGATCGACCGTGACGTTCTTCCTCTCCAGCTGCCGTATTGCCTGCCAGAAAGACCCACCACCCCGTTGCTGTTTCAGGCTTCACCTGTGTGAGAGGGACTAAAAGCTTAGGTGGGCTGCCTGAGAGAAACCGTGACTTGCGAGGCTCCAACAAACCGTCAAGTACTTAAGAGACTCGTTGAGAAGCCTACCTCCGGCCTCACTGCCTTGCACCACTATCACGAACCCCGACATGATACCAACCTGCCTCGTCCACCAGTTGTGCCAAAGCATCCTCATCCACAACTTGCAGCTTCGATTGGCAAACACACGCTTGTGATCGAAGGTGTTAGGATGTTTGGGGTGAGGAAAGCTCCAAGTTAGGGTGCTGTTCCAGAGACACTGCGCAGTCCGTCTGCGGGCTCTAGGACTAAATCGGCTGCAGTTTGTGCCGTAGGTCAATGGGGTTCAAGGCTTGGTCAGGAAGCTTCACGAGCTGATTTCAACAATTCCTCCAGGGCTCCAGCTTTGCTTCGACATCGGGATGCTCACTGCGCAAGCTCTGCGCCACAGGACCTCCGCCGTGGCGGTCGACTACAAGCTTGCAATCGCCTGCGGCCAGCGGGCCAGAATGAGCTTTGAAGGGATGCAGCACGGAACGGACAATTCTGATGCCCAACAGATTCGAAGAGCAACTAGCACGGCTTGTTGACACACTCGACCCAACCCTCCGAAACCTTGATTCATGCTCATCGTTTGAGTAGCAGATATGGCCTCCTTAAACCCGAAAACTTGGAGTCCCTCATGAAAGGCGGCGGATTCCCCCAATCCAAGTCCACCCCAAGAAAGCTCTCAGCAATGCCTTCGATGAAAATCACCACCGGGGCCGGCTGCAAGGTGGGCAAACTCTGCTTGACACCACGCAGACCAATCAGCAGGCCAGCATACTCCATGAGCTCTGGACAGGATTTCGGATGGTACCTTCATGGGATCACAGGATGAAGTAAACACACGTCGGCTGTTGCGTTTCTGCACAGTATCCTTCCAATATCATCACGCCCTACAAAGATCAAGAATCTCGGGCTTCCCCTACTGTACGGTGCTTGACTGCAGTTCATAACTAGATTCCGCGGACCAGCCAAACACAAGTCATAACGGCGAAAGACTGATGTAGCAAGCCTCTGTCGTATCCATGCATCAGCAAACGGTCATGCACAGAACGAAACGAAACTTAAAACAAAGCATATGCTTGAAATTATCTACAGGATTCTGCAGGCGCACGCAGGCTTGCTAGTCATGAGAAACTTCCCCGTTCCACAAGTCAACCAAAAGCCCGAGGTGCAGCATCCACGTCTTCCCAGTCCGCCGATCCGGATGGCCTGTGCCTGCCCGAAGCCGACGGAGGATGGCTCCTGTTGGCTGCAGGACTCTGCAGGGCTCAGGCATATTCGGAATTCTAGGGTCTGAACGGACTTACTGGCCTAGTTTCCTAATGCTTCTACCAGTATCGTGGAAGAGGCACAGAGTCAGGAAACGTGAGTGTTACGTAAGTCTGTTCGGAGCATGCGGCAGCACTCGAGTGGGTGTGTGTGTGTGTGTCAGAATGGGACCGCTGGTATTTCAAGACACTTAGGCACTAGCCAATGTGGTGGCTGTGTTGCTGCAACACAGAGTCAGAGGAGCAGTAAAGGAGAGCGGCGGAGATCTATGCTAGGCGCTTGCCACCCTCACCACAAGGCTTCAGCATCGCACACGTGAACAGGCATCTTGAAGTTGCTTCACCCGAAAGCGTCCGCAACAACAAACTTTAGAAGGCAAACCCGCAAGCTGCACGATGCCTGCGCCACCAGGTCCATGATGTCCCCCATCCACGCCGCCGTCGAAGCACAAGCGGTAGGCTCGACCTGCTTTCAGGCGGCTCGAAGTGCAGATGGACGGCAGGCTTCACATATCGCGAAAGTTGGGGCATCTCGTTGTGCAAGCGTTCCAGTTAAACTCATGCAATGATCGAGCAGATCCGAACTCGAGAAAGGTATTCGAGAACCAACAAACTGAAAAAACACAAGCACAGACAAATGCATGCACACTGCACACATGGTTGTGCGCAGATCACATGTGAAACTTCCAGCCTCGATTCTGGCGTAGATGTGTGTTCAAATGCATGTAAGTGTATGGCTGTAGGTATGTAAGTATGTATACACTTCTGCATGCATGTACACATGCATACACGCGTGTCTGTTCGGTGTTGGTCTACGTCTGATCATTATGACTATAGTGCAGCGATGCAAACGTGCAAACGGTACATCTCCAACATAGGTAAGGTAAACGCGAACAGACTAACTGACTAACACACACTACTCCGCCTTATCCACCTGTTTAGCTGTAAATCCTGTGAATCCAACCTTGCGATCGTTTCCAATTGGAGCCCCTGTTGCTGTGGACCCTTCTCCTCTTCTTGTCGATCGCTATCATCACACATTTCCTACATTTAGATGGAAAGCCGCTCAATCAACCGATTTTTTTGCCACCCGCCCAGCTGAAACTAGTCGCACCGCAGGGAACTCGTCAGGACTCGAAGACTTGAAGAGAGGGGCCCCAGGGAAAATACGTGTGCCACTTCGAAAGGCCCAAGAGCAATCAACCCAATTGAAAAGCTTGAATGTCACACCGCTTCACCAGAGATTGAAGATTGAAGATCGTCTGACATTACGCAGAGTCAGCGCCGCAAAACCCAGCCGGCTTGAAACAGCTTGGGCTTCAAGCCAGTCCAGCGAAGATTGAAGATCCCCCGGAAAGTTTTGACAGGTCTGCAGTTTGCGATGGATTGGGTTGAAACTCAAACCGGTTCAAACCACTCGCCATGCAATCGAACGCAAAACTTTGTCTGAAATCTTCAATATTTGGGCGAGCCCCCTTGAAACTCAAGCCGATTCAGCAGCTATACAATGACCCCTCGGAAACATGAAACCATGTATCTTATCGTGCAATCCCTGTGGAAATCTGTCAGTCACTGAGTGAAATTATCCTGAATGCCTGGTGTGGTTTCGGAAATGTATAGACGCTTCAACACAAGCTACAGAAAAACGTCAGGCAGAATCTACGGGGGCAAAGCGGGTGCGGAGAATGGCGGGGGAGAAGGAGGGGGAGGGGGACGGGTAGCACATATGTACGTATGTATGTATATATGAAAACATAAATATATTTGTGTATATATGAATATATACATAAAATATATACAGAGAGAGATTGATAAATAGCTACAAGTCAGTAGATTGATGTAGATAGGCAGGTTAGATACGAACGAAGATGTAGGTAGAGCTAGGGATATGTAGATGTAGATACAAACAGCCACGGACAATAGATAGAGCAGACCTCCAAAGGGACGGAACCGGTCAAGAGAGTCTCATACTCTATCGAGCCATGGGCTTGCACCGGCCCCTGCCTGAAATTTCTCGGTCTCGCATGGATTTCCGGGCCTGCAGCTCCTCCGACGCAATCCTTCCACCGACTTCGGGGATGCACGGGACCGTCTCCGCGATCTGTTCGACCTATCATGACGAAGGAAACATAGAGGGCGCAATCCGGAACACGAAACTCCCGTGGCCAGAACCGCTATAAGACTGAAGCATGCATCTTTGACGATTCCAAAGAAAAGCCTAATTACCAAGCTAAACCTGATGTTGAATTCAAGGCCCCAAAGGGGGGCCTTGCGAGCTGGGGGTGTCAGCTCCTGCATCTCTCTGCCGACTCGTTGGCCTGGCCCTGGCTTGGCCATCCGCGAGTGGCTGGGCGCGGGCACCCGAGACCCTTTGCCAGGCTTCCTTGCCAAGATCCTTGACACTTCAGCGCTTCAAGTCTAAACGGCCTGTAAGCCCACGAGATATAGGACTGTAACTAATTACTGTGGGATATGGGCCATGGGCTTCACGAGCGGTGCATTCGGCTAAGCACCGAAGGCTGTTATCAAGGAGACTGGTTGCGGACCAAGTTCTACTGCTTCGCTGTTTCACTTGAGGACAACGAAAGAGCATAGTCTTGCTGTCCTGACCAAGAATCATATCGATGGCACCTTCCAGATCTTCGTAAACAACCCACTCATCTCCAGATCCACGGCCAAGTTCGACCAGGCTCTTGAACACGGGTGCACTGCGCCGCTGCTCCACAAACTTGCGACCGTCCGCGGACCGTTGTGCCGTTTGGTCTGACACTGTGCTGGTCTGAAAACCACCGAACAAGGACTGCAGGGCCACGTTGTCCATGGCCTCCTTTAAGTTGTTTGCATGCGCAGTGGCGACCAAAGCGATGCCTTTGAAACCGATGCGGCATGCTGCTTCCACTTCCTCCTGGCTTCCAATCTCGTCAATGACCTGCACGGTTTACATTCTGGCAACAGGACTTGCTGTCGAGTTTCCCAAACATTCTTGCCCGGCGAAGTGGATGAGAACCCTCACAGCCAATTGGACTCTCCAAAGAAACGCATCCCTCCTCGACCTCTTTGCAGCGAAGCAGCCAGCACCTCCGGCGTATGATTCTGCACCTTTGCACTTTGCGCTCGACTTGCAGACTAGCAGCCCACGGCAGGCATGAATGCGACACGCGCGTGGCAGGCATGAAGCCCAAACTACATCCACATGTCGAATTTTCAAGCTTGTACTGCAGCGCAATCTTAACCTGACCATCTGTACTTGCAACTTGCTCCTACAGGGCCGCTGTATCGTCCAAAATACATGCCTACTAGCGGCTTCTGGCCGCACCTGCTGCCCAATGCTTTGATTGCTCTGCGGTGGTGCGCTGCGATGTCCAGCAATTACGCAAAAAGAACTCGCACCGTTCAACTCCAAAGGCGCCGAGCTGCCGCTTCCAGCATGTCCTGGTGCTGGAGGCTCCTGTCCGCCACTTGCATCCTTCGCGTGGTTCGGCCGACCGCAACATGTGCGCTTCTGCCGAACCTCAGGGCCCAGGGTTCGGGTTTAGACGAAGCATGGCCTGCTGACAATCAAGCGAGCAAGCTTTTTTTTTTGTTTCTCTCTCTCTCTCTCGCATTTTTATAGTGTACATACATGTCTATCAGACTATCTACCCATTCGTTTGTCAGTCTTTTTATCTATCCATCCATCTATCTACCTGCCGACCTATCTACTAAACAGCCATCTAACTCTAAAGCTATGTAGCTATCCAGATATCCATTTGTCAGTCGAACTGTCTACCAATCTATCCGTCTGTCAACCCAGTTTATTGTGAATCTGCCTACCTACCTCTCCAATTATCTATCTGTCTATCTGTCTGTCTACCTTACCTTACCCAACCCTACCCCCTGCCCTGACCTGCCTCCCTGCCTTGCACTGCTCTGCAGCTCTGGGCTATGCTATGCCATGCTATAGAGCTATCCATCTACCTATGCCCTACTTGAAGCGGATCTGAGTGGACAGCTGCATACCTCCCATGCACTGTGGCACTGTGGCTATGGTCATCCAAAAACGACATCGCAGCAAGAGCGGAGGCTTAACAGAGCGAGCTCTATACCAGATGACAATACATAGACATTAATGTATGCAAAGAAACACCCACACCCACTCCCACACGCACAAGCGCACAAGCGCACAAGCGCACAAGCGCACACACACACACACACACACACACACACACGCACACACACACACACACTCACGCAAATATATATATACATATATATATATATATGTGCGAGTATGTGTGTGTATATATATATATACATAATTCGATTATTACTACACGATATTGTAATATATTATACGCGTGGGACATGGGTTGCATACGGATATATCATATATCTAGTCAAACCTCCGTATCCGTCAAATCATTGCGAGCCAATGTATCGCAAAGAGACCCACAGATTTCGCTCGAGGTGTCGATGACGAACACGCGCCGGTTGAACTCTTCGCCTCAGGCGGCGATTCGAGTCTCAGCAGTCGATAGCTAGTCGTACATGTCGGAGTCCTGAGAAAGGCTCCAGCACGATATCTTCAGAGTCGAGTATCTTAGGGAGCGTGCCACCTCGCGCAGGAGGGTCGTCTTGCCGCACCCGGGGGGTCCCAGAACCAGAAGCGACTTTCCATCCTTCAAACAGCAGTCAATAGAAAAGGTTTGGGGCTCTAATGTCTCTGCAATATAGTGGAGCTAAACGCTTGTGACCTGTGTTTACCCAGAGGCTCCGATTAGGCTATTTACTGCCAGGATATAGTTAAGTTAAATAATGACTATAGTTAATTTTCAGGGTATTATTTTTAACTCTAAAATAGTTAATTTTTATAGTCAATTTTCATGAATTAACTATTTTCAAGATCATTGCATATCGATCAGTGTATATGGGGGGGGGCGGGGCGGGCGAGAAATATGTGTTGTTCTGCAGCTGTTTCGGTTCTGAGGTTAAGCTAGACCGGCCCGTGAAAGGTGGCTGCTGCTGCAGCCATGACACAGCAGCTGTTGCAGTTTGCAGCGAGCACTCTTGGAAACAGCTTGGAGTTGGAAGCCGAGCAGCCGGAGGCTGAGGAGCCAAAGGTTGAGGAAGTCGAGGCTGAGGCCGGTGAGGCACCCGGTGAGGCACCCGGTGAGGCACCCGAGTCGGCTGAGCCTGAGCCGAAGCCTGGAAAGCCAAAGGCCAAGGCAAAAGCGAAGGCGAAGAGCACAGCCAAGGCAAAACCCCAACCCAAGGCCAAAGCTAAGGGGAAGGCAAAGGCAAAGGCAAAGGGCAAGGCAGCCTGTAAAGCAACGGAGCCAGAGGAACAGGGCGAAGACCAGCCAGAGGAGGCTGCCAAGCCCAAGAAGAACAAGAAGGAGGTGGACACGGCCGAGGCCCCCGTTCCCAAGAAGCCGAAGGCAGGAGCTGAGGTGGAGTCGCAAGAGGGTGGAGACCCGGACCCGGCACCGAAGCTGACTGCAGCTGCTCGACTGAAGAAAAGGGCAGAGAACCTCGTGCCAGACGAGGAGCCCACAGCCGAAGAGGTGCCCCCGGAGGAGCTGGAGCTCCAGGTGGCTGAGAAAAGGGACAAGAGGAAAACCAGGTTTTTCGAGGCCAACCTTAAGAAGCTGCCCGAGAGTGTTCAAAAGCTCTTTGCCTCCAAGGAGGTGAGTCGTGCAGACAAGACTCGTCTTGTCAACGAAGGAGTCGTCTCCAAGAACGGCAAGTGGGAGCTTGCTGTTAACCCGCCTGTGTTTGAGGCCCTCACCACAAGCTACTCGAGTGTGACTGGATCCACTCGGGACAAAGCCTACCCCAAAGCCATCATGATTGGCAAGTGTGCCGGGGAGGAGAACTTCCTTCGTGGACTCAGGGATGGCGACATTGAAGCCACGACTGAGAATGGCAAGCAGATGTTCAAGTTCCGGTCCCTGGAAGTGACGGTTACCACTGGTGTGAGGACCGACACCACTCACAAGAAGCAAGCAGAGTCCGCCCCAGAGGCCGAGAACCAGTTTCTTAGCTTCTGCGACAACTTTGACCCGGAGCTAGTCAGCGAGACTGTGCGGCCTGAGTCGCTGTCGCTGCGGGTGCCCGAGCCGCAGCCTCTCCAGACGGGATCGATCCCGAGCACCTTTGCACCCCCTGCAGTGCTTCCAGGACCTCTGGCGATCTGCGACGGGGCCGTGGATCTCCTGCCTGCAGACTCCAAGACGCTAGGCAAAGTGGAGGATGCCTTGAACTGGATCGGGTCTGCCAAGACGGCAACGATCAAGTTGAAGAAGATCCCGGATTCGGTGACTTACTGCCACTTGAAACAGCAGCTTGACTCTCGGTGGGAAACCCTGCTGCCAATGCAGGCCCAGCTTGAGCACGTGAAGCTCAGCGGGAAGGCTTCCCAGACTGGCTTCAGAAACGTGATGAAGCAAGTCGCCCAGACCCTTCTGCAAGTGCAGGAGCTGATCAAAAGCATTGCAGCTTTGAACTAGACTGCTCTGCCGGGCCGAGTGATGTCGAATCGCCGTTTGGGCCCTGATCGTTCCCATCAGATGGGGCTGCAGCTGGCATCCCGGAGCTTAACTTTTCTCAGAACCGATCCTGCAGCTGGAATCCCAGCTTTAGAACCGCAATTAGGCACTAGTGCAACAACTGCAAGGGCTGGGGCTCCTGTAGCAGAGAAAAGAAGCAGGGTCTTCCTGGAGCGAACTTCTGTGAAGTGTCTGCAAGGTTTTCGTTGCGAGCTCTGTTCCTGTCAGCTTAGGATGTTTGTTGCAGGTCTGTTGTTGACTCGTGTGTGCTGCAGCCGTGTGAGCTCGAAGAGCAAAAAGGGGGACCTGTATGGTCCCGGGAGCCCCGAGGCCTGCATGGGATTAGGGCTCTAGAGTTTAGGTTCGAGGTTTAGGGTTGAGGGAGAAAGGGGTTTTCAAACTATAGCATAGCTTGCAGGTTGCCCGAGCCAACCAAGATATAGAAACCACCAAAGCCAATAACAAGAATCGGGAGGCTTGGCGGCTAGGGTCGCAGCACCCTCACCAGACCACTCCTCTTCGGAGGAGGTTTGGCGGTGAGGGGTTTGCTGTTGATCTTAGCCAGACCACTCCCAGATCTGGAGACTTCGGCCAGACCACTCCTTTCAGGGAGGCTTGGCGGCCGAAGCTCCAGGGCCTGGAGTCCAGGCCACAAAAAATTTAATCGAAGCCCCAAACCTGAGCCGCCCCCAACCCAACCGCCTTAAGTCCCAACCCGAAGCCCCCAAAAAAAACTTTCTGTGCAGGTCCCGTTCGCCTCCGTCGCCGCGGTCTACCAGCTGGGAAGTGGTGGCAAACCCTGCAGACATGCCCGAAGGGCCCCGCCGCCGGAGCCCTTTCTCTCCAATCCCGGAGCGACGGGGAAACTCCGTGGAGGAGAATCGGGCCATGAGTGTGGACTCCTCCACCCGGAGCCACCGGGACCCCGACTTTATGAAAGATCGCCGGGGTGAGGAGGCTTCTAGGTCGGAGGCCGAGAAGGAGGAGGATCCAGAGAAGAAGGCCTTGCTGGAGGCTCGCTTAGAACAGGCGAAGAAGGATCTGGCAAAGGAGAAGGAAGCGAGCCCCGGTGGAGAGCAGCTGGAGCGGGACGAGAGGCTCGTCTCTACGATCCCGCTCACGTTGTCTCCTGAGCAGGAAGGGAGCGAGCAGGGCTTGTACTGCCCTTTGTATGGGGCACACCAGTGCAAGAAGTATCTCACGACGGAGTGGGGCTTCAAGCAGCACTTGCAGAATAAACACGGGGTGCCAAAGGGAAGAGGCCTTCCTTGTGGCCGAGTCCCAGTGGCGGCAGTTGCCTGGCAAGGGCAAGAACAAGGCTGCTAAGGACAACAGAAAGCCCAGTGAGCCTGCTGAGCCCCCCAAAAGGGACCTCGTGCTCAAGCCTCGTGATGAGAGGGAGATCCGGGGCCCGAGCCCGAAGGTATCCCGGCGGTCGCCGGAGCCATCGGAAGCCGGCACCGGCTCAGCCGGCTCGCAGGAGGCTGGGTTTGCCCTGCTCCGCCAAATGTGGGGAGATCTGGCGGATAAGGTCCTGAGATGATCTGCCGTCCGTGCGGTTGAGGCCTGCTCCAGAGGGATTGCAACCCAAGCCTATAGGACCCTTAGACAAGAATATCCTCCAAAGCCAGGGCCCCTAAAACCTCAACCCAAGCCTATAGGACCCTTAAACAACAATAGCCTAAAAAAGTAAGTTGCAAACCCTCTGTTGAAGCAAGCAAACCGAAGCACTCCACCACGGAGCACTCCACCACGGAGCCTTGTGCAGCCCTGCTCCAGAGGGACTGCTATCTTAAGAATAACATCCAAAGCTAGGGCCACTAAAAAAGATAGCAAACCCTCTGTTGAAAGCAGCCAAACCAAGGCAGGAGCGAAAAAAAGGCGCTTTTCGCTGAAAGGGGTTTGGGGCTTAAGGTTTTAGGTGGGATGGTAGATTAGGGCCTTAGTGTTTTAAGGGTTTCGGGTTAGGGTTTTAAAGGTTTTGGGTTAGGGTCTCGGCTTTCGGGTTAGGGTTTTAAGGGTTTTGGGTTAAGGGTTTTGGGTTAGGGTCTCGGGTTTCGGGTTAGGCTTTTAAGGGTTTTGGGTTAGGGTCTCGGGTTTCGGGTTAGGCTTTTAAGGGTTTTTGGGTTGGGGCTTCGGGTTTGGGGTTTCGGGCTTGGGGGTTTCGGGTAAAGGCATAGGCACCACCCCCCCACCCAGTCGCCCACCCATCCACACCACCTCGACCACTCACCCACCCTCTCACCCCACCCCCCCGAAAGCGCCCAGGCGCCAATTTTCTTAAAAACAAATCAAAAGCACCACATGCCCCATCGAACTCAGTGGAAGTTTGGTGGAAGTTTCCCGGAAACTTCCACGGATACGGTGGAAGTTTCCCGGAAACTTCCACGGACACTGTGGAAGTTTCCTGGAAACTTCCACCGTGCTGCTGGAAGTTTCCGGGAAACTTCCACTGATCAGTGGAAGTTTAATGGAAACTTCCACTGCTCGGTGGAAGTTTCACTGAAACTTCCATTGGTTATTACTCTTGCTACTATTACTACTATTACTACTATTACTACTATTACTACTATTACTACTATTACTATTACTACTATTAGTATTATTGCTACTATTACTACTAGTACTACTACTACTACTACTACTACTACTACTACTACTACTACTACTACTACTACTACTACTACTACTACTACTACTACTACTAGTACTACTACTACTACTACTATTACTACTATTACTATTAATAGTATTACTACGATTACTACTATTACTACTATTACTATTATTACTACTATTATTATTACTATTACTACTATTACTACTAATACTACTATTACTACTATTACTACTATTACTACAATTACTATTATTACTACTATTATTACGATTATACTACTATTACTATTATTACTACTATTGCTACTAATACTATTATTACTACTATTACTACTATTCCTACTATTACTACTATTACTACTATTACTACTATTACTACTATATTCTACTACTACTAGTACTACTACTACTAGTACTACTACTACTACTACTACTACTACTACTACTACTACTACTACTACTACTACTACTACTACTACTACTACATACTACTACTACTACTACTCCTACTCCTACTACTACTACTACTACTACTACTACTACTACTACTACTACTACTACTACTACTACTACTACTAAAGTTACCTGGAAACTTCCAGGGCTCGGCGGAAGTTTCCAGGAAACTTCCACCGAGCCGTGGAAGTTTCCCGGAAACTTCCACCGAGCCGTGGAAGTTTCCGGGAAACTTCCACGTGATCGGCGGAAGTTTCCCGGAAACTTCCACGTGCTCGGCGGAAGTTTCCCGGAAGTTTCCTGGAAACTTCCACGTGCCCGGCGGAAGTTTCCAGGAAACTTCCACCAAACTTCCACTACCTTTGGTGCCGTTTTGGAAAATGCAGCCCAGAATCTTAAACCGCAAACCAAATTTTGCAAAAAAGCGAAAGAAAACACAGCAAAAATGGCGCTGAAATTAACAAAAAATAAAAAGCAAAAGCTCAAAATGTAAAAACAAAAGCGCCATTTTAGCTGTGCGACTGGAAAAGTATAGTATTATATTAGGAGCAGCAGCACTACTGGCTGCATGATGTAGTAGTAGTGGTAGTAGTAGTAGTAGTAGTAGTAGTAGTAGTAGTAGTAGTAACTTAGTAGTAGTAGTAACTTAGTAGTAGTAGTAGTAGTAGTAGTAGTAGTAGTAGTAGTAACTAGTAGTAGTAGTAGTAGTAGTAGTAGTAGTAGTAGTAGTAGTAACTTAGTAGTAGTAGTAACTTAGTAGTAGTAGTAGTAGTAGTAGTAGTAGTAGTAGTAGTAGTAGTAGTAGTAGTAGTACTTATTATAAAGTAGTAGTTATATAAGCATGAAGAGAAACCCAAAACACCCAAACCCGAAAAATCCTCGACCTTAAGCACACACCCAAAGTTTAAAAAACTTACACCCCCCAAATCCGAACCCTACCCTAAACACCTGAAGTCCTGAACCCCCCGAACCCAAACACCCAAAATTTAAAAATCTTAAACCCCCGAAACCGAACCCCACCCTAAACCCCTAAACTCCTAACCCCCCCGATCCCCTCCCCATCCCCTCTCCCGTCCCCAACCCCCCTCCCCGAAACCCCTAAACTTCCAAACCCCCCCACCCTTCCCCCTACCTTCCCTCCCGGCCCAACCTTAGGGTTCAGGGTTGAGAGTTCAGGGTTGGTCGTCTTCCGTCGTCGTCGTCGCGGTCGTCGTCGTCGTCGACGTCGCCGTGGTCGTCGCCGTGGTCGTCGCCGTTGTCGTGGTCGTCCTGGTCGTCGTCGTAGTCGCCCTGTCGTCGTGATCGATGTTGTAAAGCTTTTGGCTCGCAGCCATGCAGCTGCTTAGGCTTAGAACTGGGCCATCGGAGGATTGGCCATGGAAGCAGCCGTGCTTGGAGGCTCCCGGCAAGGTGTTCGGCAGAGAACTGCCCGTCTGCAGGAGGAAGAGGAGGAATCAGAGCTCGCTGTGCATCTGTACCGACAGTTCCTCTGGGGTCATCAGAGCTTGGCACAAGTCCGAACAACCGCCGGGCTTGCTTCGGATGAGTTAACCCGAAAGCGGGCAACTGTTCCGAAACAGCTCGCCACCTTGGCAGGTTTGGGAGGCAGCACAGACTTGACCCATAATCTCTGGAGAGATTTGGAGCGACGGGTGCAGCCGCCGTTCTTGGAACCGAGATATGAGATGCTGCCATTGAATCCTAGGCCAGGCCGCATCCCTTTCTTTGACCCGGTGCAGACTTTCGAATGCCTGCGGACTCGACGTCCAGAGTTCTTCAAGGAAGTTTGCCTTCCCTCGGTTGATGAGCTGGACTGGAGGAGTTCTGGAACCAGTGCTCTGGACACCCGGCCCTTCGGCACCATCCAGTGCGAAACATCAGAGGCTTCCAACGTCGGGCAGTACCGCTCGTTTTGCACGGTGACGGTGTGCCAATCACAGCCATAGGGGCGAGCCAGAAGTCCTGCGCTTTCATTAGCTGGAGATCCCTGTTGTGTCAGAGAGCGGCCAGCAAGTGTCAGCACCAGCTGATGGCTGCGATCTGGTGCGACCTGATCGTCAAGGCCGGCGGCGAGGACACAGTGCAAAGCCTTTGGGCTCTAGTGTGCCAGTCCTTCGATGCCGCCCTGGACGAAGCAGCGGGGCATCAGAGACCCTTCCCGGTGCTGCTTTTCGCCAGCGGAGACCTGGAGTGGTTCAGTCTGGCACATGGCCTTCCTCGCTGGAATTCCCTGAAGCCCTGTGGCCTGTGCGGTGTCGCACGACAGGCCATGTTTGGCTTCAGGGCAGTTCCGAGGGTGCCGGCAGACCCGTGGATTCTCCCGAGACATGACTCCCACATTCTTTGTCGGAGAACTCTCTGCAAGGCTTCCGTCTTCCCAGACATGATGCACACGAAGCATCTTGGGGTGGACCAAAGAATATGTGGCAGTGTCATCTGGCTCCTAGTGCACACTGTGATGCCCGGCGATGTTGAATCCAACCGCATCCAGTTGGTGGAAGAGCTGCACAGAGCACACCGGGGACGTGGCGAAAGGCCGGTGAGCAGACTCACACCGGGGATGTATTTGTCCAAAGTCGGCGACGTGGACTGCCGGGAATCCTACCCATGCCTGAAATGCAAGGCTGCCGAAACCAAGGCGACAGTGGCGGCATTGAAGACGGTTTGGGGAAACCGCATGGATCCTCAGCAGGAGCTGCACATCCTCACGAACTTGCTGCTGGAACTGAGCGTTTTCTTGGATACAGAGGTGTCCTCCTCTAGCGACTGGCACCCCACGAAGGCTGAGAGTGAGCAATGGGTTCTTGCTGGAGTCAGCCTCGCTCAATGTCTCACGAAGTTAACCAAGGAACATCTGAAGCTTGGGCGGTGTTTGTTCCAGTTAACGTTTAAGTCTCACTGGCTGATCCACTGTCTCCACTACTCCGAGTACATGAACCCGAAGTTTTTGTGGACGTACAGCGGAGAAGACTATATGAGCCGCTGCAAGACCCTGCTGAAGTCCTGCCTGAATGGCAGGAAGCAGCTGCCGGCACTGCAAAGATTCGGTCGGCAATATGCTAGGGCCATATGTGTCGAAGTAGACAAGGAGTTTCACCGACCCCTCTTTGTGTGACATGCAGTCACGTCCGAAAAAAACCGGCCCGTATAGTAGAAGTGCACGGAGGAACCGCCTGCTGTATGATCTTCTAGTAATTGTGTCGTTTTTTGCTTTTGGGCTCAAGACCGGTTTTAGAGTGCCTCGGTGTTTTGTTAGTTTCGAGCAATGGAAGTCGTCGGCCGAACCCGCCTGAAGGTGCTGGACTCCGTGACGGCTCCAAAGCTGCAAGGGGCCATCGAGGAAGGGCTTAAGCACATGGGCCATCGTAGCCTCGAACGAATGGTTTGCGGCTTGGAGAATATGTCTTGGAAGACAGCGATCACAGGCCATGTGGCACAAATCTGTGCCATGGAGGGCTTGCTGATCTGTCTGCTAGGGATTTGCTCCAACGGCCTCTTGCCTCACAAGATGCTGGAAACTGCTCTGCTCAGCTGCCACAAGGCCACACCGTTTGAGATGAGTCGACCAGCGAATGCCACAGGACCCAATTGGCAGGATGCCTGCATCAAGTACTTGATGTTGAGGCTCCGAATGATCACAGGCAAGATCCGTGAAATTGCTGTCGACGAAAAAGAGCGAGCGAAGGCGCTGAAGAAGACTTCGCTGCAGCAACAAGCCTGCATCTTGAAGCTATGCCGCATCCTTAATCCTGGGCTGGCTGCTTTGCCTGCAGACAGTGGCACAGGGCCCTTGCCACTGCAGCTTGTGCCCGAGGCGAATGACTCGTCTGAGGATGAAAGGCAGATAGAGAGAAACTTCAAGCTTCTGCTCGGGCCTTCGGATGGTCAGAGATCGCTTGCAGGGACGTCTGCTGCTGCAACTTTGCAGCTTGCCCAGGGCTCTACAGAGCCTGCCCAGGGCTCTACAGAGCCTTCAAGCTTCCTAGAGCGAGCCAACAAGCGAGCTCTTGCAGCAGCTCTAGCCTGCAGCCCGGCCAAACCAATGTCTAAAAAGGCAAGGATGGAGACCATCGCGGAAGCTAGGAACTCGTCTCCAGGTGTCTTGAAGAAGCCTGCTGCCGCCAAAGGTGCCTGCAAGAGACCGGCTGCGGCAGAGCCTGTAGTCCGGGCCGCAGCGGAAGAGCCTACGAGGGGAGAGCCAGCCAAGGAAGTCTTGCAGGAAGACGGTATCCTGCTGACTCGGTACGGATGCACCAAAGATCGTGGCTTGCTTTTCGGCTGCAGTCAGTGCAAGAAGTGGGCAGCTGACGGTAAGCATCGATACATCGTGCTATCCTCCGGCCACATTGCTCAAAAGAAGCAGTGATCGACATCGCTAGCCTTAGGCCTCAGACCAGAGTTTTGCAGACGGGCTTGTGGAAAAATACTGCACACGATCATGTCATTGAGATATATTCTGGAGTTAATTTATATATTTTTTGGAGTTAATATATATATTTTTTGGAGTTAATTTTTTAACTATAGTTAAAGTTAATTTTTTAACTATTTTAGGAATTAGTATAAATATTAACTATTAGTTAATATTTGTATATATAGTCTGTAAATAGACTAATCGGAGCCTCTGGGTACCAAACGTGATCCGGCACAGAGACACGGAGAGCAAAAAGCTAACTTGCAACTGTGACTTGACAAGTCCCATTTCCAACCTCATCGCGAGTCCTAGTCTTCGGTCAGCCGGCTACTGTCACCGTGGCTCAGATCCGAACCCGAATGATCGAATGGCCGTCCTCGATAACTCTGCGCAGCTGCGGCACATTCTCCGCGAGGCCATACATAGCATGTGCCATGCGAAGTGTGAGTCCAGTCAGGCTTCGGCCGCCATAGTGATCCACAATCCGAGCCACCCTGTGGAGAGTGCCCGAAACGCCAGAGCGGTTATCCTGCGAAGGTGCAGGAACCTTACTAATTTATCAAAGTAGGATTTAGGGTATGTAACATGCTTGTATTCGGGAAGCCTAGTATTGCTAATCCCTTCATCCGTTTAATAAAATCCCTTCATATAAGGACTTCCCCGGCCGAAACAAATCCAGCTTCGAGCCAAAAGTGCCAAATGAGTAGATTTAAAGATGATTTTTTAAGGAATGTTGAATTCGGGCCCAGGTAGGATCGGCATGAGGCGATTGGAAAAAAAAACCCGGATTACCAGGGTAGGGGGCGCGCATTTGCAATTGGAACGCGGACATTTGGAGCAGGAACGCGGCATCCGAGGGAGGTCTGAGGGAGTCCGGCCATGTGGGAATTTCAAGGTTTAGCAGTCTAGATTTGGAATTTCCAGGCTAGGGCCGCATTTGGAATTGGAAAGGCCGGCATGGAGAATTGGATATTCGCAGGCTGGGGCCATTTTAAACAACAGAATCTTTAATATTAGGAGGATTGTTTTGGACCGGGTGCGTATAGGCCCTGCCTGGGGAAAGCCACTGGGTGCGGATTGGTGACTTTTACTGACACTAGCCTCGGGACTTTAGGTGCTTTCACTCGCCCTAGCCTTTGAGTTCCGGACTATCTTGCATGTTTTATTACTGTCTCGATCCGGAACTCCCAGGCTAGGCGAGTGAACGCACCTAAAACGTGGTGCGTGGCGTTTTATCGGAACTCCCGGGCGAGTAATTGCTTCATCGAAACCGGAACTCCCAGGCTTACCTAGATGCGTACCCTTGCCTGGCAGTGGAAATCCAAACTCTCGAACCCGAAATCCCCCAAATATTGAAGATTAAAGTCCCAACATCATTCTTTCGGATCTCTGGCGACTTCGCAGGACCAATGCATGAACCCCGACCCAGATCCCGAAACGCAGGAGCCAAACAGCAAGCCATCGGATCGTATCTCAGAAATCCAGCCCCGAGCTGCATTCGCCCGTGGCCACATTATATGCACCCCAAAGACACTTCCAGACCGTGTGGTGGGAACCTGGAACGTAAGCATTATTGTTACATGCACTGCCAGGGGCTATGGCGTGAGGGACTTCACTTCCCGAATTCTTGCACACATGTAATAGTGACTGAACAGCCTAACTAACGAAGTAGCGTTAGTGTTTTCAGTCCTTCGTCCAACGTCCGGCTAGCAGTTCGTGAGCTTCTGCAGCATCTAAGTCTTCTTGCTGTACAAGTCGGCAACCATCGAGGACACGTTTGTACAGCTTTCCTCGGTAAACATATCAGCTTGAAACCTCAGGGTTTTGGACTAGTTCTAGATATGTCCTTCAAGGCGAATGAAGCCTAAAACTGTTCTGGGGTTATCCTTCCTCCAACAATGAAGATCAAGCTCCCAAAGCAAAAACATACTGCTCAGGAACATGTTACCCTGGGCGTCTCGCTCGTGGACCACGGGCTTCCGGTCCAGATCAAGCACCACATCCACCAGAGATGCCGGGTTCAAGTGGGACCGGATGTGCTCCTGATCGACTTTGACCCGAAGCTGCCGAACCTACTTGCATCGGTCTCACAACGAGTCGCTGGTCCAAAATACTCTTTTTCTTAAGCAAACCTGGCGACGTCGAGTTTATAAGTCATAAGCCCATGATGCATTCGGGCCGTAAGTCTCAGCAACCAAAGCTGCTCTACTCCACGGTGTAACAGCGGGCGCCCCTGCACTCATGTCTAATGTCCGGACCGCTTGGCTAATGTCAGGCACGAGCCTCAGAAGAAGAATGAGAGCAAAAGATTGCAACAGCTACGAAATTCTGTAGTTCCTCCCTAACCACAGGCTACGATGCCCTGAATTGCTGAGACCTTTTGACATCGAGAAACTGGAAGCAGTGACAGCATACGCTCATCTTCGGGGCTCGATAGAAACAGCTCGGCGCCGTCTTCCAACACTTCCTGCTGGAGTTTGGGTTTTTGTGTTCGAGCGTTCAGGCTTCACGGCAATGACTCTTTCAAAGACACTTGCCGGCAGCGGGTTCACCATAGTTACGTTTATACAGTAGAAGTGCTTTGCCGGGGGCAGGGGACCTAAGCTTCATCGAACACATGATTCTCCAGACTGACTTGCACGACCGTCGAGCACAAAACAGTGCGGAGGGGCATCATCCTCATCAACTCTTACTGGCCGTCGACAGCACGACGGTTCAACCAAGACGGGCGTGTCCGAAAAATCGGGGATTGCGCGCGGGTCCTCGGGTAATAGGTTCCACGGCTGCGACAGCGAGAACAAGTGCCTCGGAAAATTGGCTGCGCAGTCACTCCGAGCTCCATGCCTGTGCAGAAGGCTGACTGCCCACCCCATCCGGCACAGCAGTGGGTAAACGAAACACATTGAAACGCGAGCTGCACACGTAATGTACTTACCGACCACTAAGAAATCAACTGTTTTCGGGCTTAGGAGCTTCATACTAGTACTGCTATAATTATGTTGGGGTTTGAAATCAGGGGTCTATCATCTGTCAGCTTTCTATATGCATCAGGCGATCACTGCATTGATGCCCAACTACACATGCCAGACTCTTGGGGTAAGCTTCAACATCGATCGTCCTGAAGCCTCGACAAAGCTGACAAACACCGGCAACGCAGGGCGGCTGGCAAAACCGAGATGCTGCGTGCCGTGCTCTACGCCCTCGAGCTCCTGTCGGGTGCTGTCTGGACTTTCGGCTTCGGAGCCGTAAGCTCTAGGTATTATATAGCTCAAGATTCACAGTGGGAAGGGGAGGATTAAGGAGCTGTTTGCCTCCTACATTGCCAGGACGAGCCCGAGGTTCAGAGTGCCGGGTGTACAGGTGCAGGTTTTGATGAGAGTACTGAAACTTTGTGGTCTGCAAGGGCGGTACGGGACACAACGCAGCTACTGACACAACGCATGCCCTCCTTCTAAAGGCTGATGCTTCCGGTCTTTGCCTGCTTCTTGGTTCTCCCACGCGGTTGAAGGCTCAGCCCAAGAAGCTCAGTTTTTGAAGGCCGAAGTTTACCCAAACACGTTATTCAAGGCCCAATAAGAACGCCTCAACGCAGAAGGATATCGGGCACAGCAGCCACATTGTTATACCTCAGCTAGCTTAGCTGGTCCTCCAACTTGGCCATGACCTCCCCGATCGTAGCAGCGACAGGCAGGCTCCTAAGCTTGCGTTTGGAGCGGGACGAGGCTTCGAGCACTCCCAGCGCTCCTGCTATCGAGCAGAATGTGGCCCCTCCCTGCAGCCTCTGCAGCCCGGGCCCGGAACCCAGGAAGAACCCAAGTCAGGTTCAGTCACTTGGAGCGGTGGACGCAGCTCAAGGAGGCATGACCTACGTCTTGATGTGCTCAGTGTGTGGCCGAGCACGCTTTCGCGTCGAGCTGCAGACGGACACGGAGTCCCAAGAACCCTACTGCGAAATCTGCGAAACACAAGACCACGAATGCTGTCGAGTGGCAAGCTCAACTCAACACCCCGAGCCATGATGCAAACGAAGATGCGGATGCCTTTCTGCTTTCTGTGGTTCCAGCCGGAAGTTCAGGGCTCAGGCGGTATGAATTTCGGAGCTTCGTAACTAAGGCAGCTCATGCTCTCGCAAAGCCAGAAAATCGGCTCACAGATAGTTGGGCCCAATCCTGTTTCCAAAACCGTCGCGTAGGAATGCGCAAGCCTGAACACGACCCCATAAACCCTTGATGTGGAACTCGGAGTTACAGTCGTCCTCTTTCTCGCTCCTCCCCTGCTCAGAACTTTGCCAATTCGAGATCCGTACAATGGACCATCGAAGATGTGCTCTGCTAAGCTGCCAAGGTCGGAAACTCTCACGCACCGCTTGTCTCCGCAAGGGGTCCCCAAAAACCCGAGACTGAAGCAAGCTTACAGAAGTTCATTGTGGTAGGACAGCTGGATCAAAACGACACACGAGTGATAGTCCATCCCAATGTGCAAGAAACACAACACGAAATATGACAGCTCCCTTCTTCGAAGAAAAGAGCTTCGACCGACACATCCTTCGTGACACGAGTGAAAAAATATAAGCACACTGCTAGGATCGGCCAAAGAAGCCAGCAGACCAGATTGTTAATGACTCGTTAAAGCGCAAATGATGTACGTACCAAAACATTCTCACAAACATGTACATATATACATATACTTTATATGTGTATATATATATATATATATATATATATATTATATATATATATATGCACATGCATGCTTTCTAGGACCCTAGGAGCCTCCAGACTTGTCAGCTAAAGGCTCCAGGCAAATGTTCGACAGCCTTACTTGGCAGCCTGGGGCCCGGGGTTCTGCTGCCACGATGCAGCCTTCATTTTCGGCATCGCTGTCCCTGTCGCTGTCCTCCCAGCTGTCAAGTTCGGGAGAGTATGTTCTACACACGCAGTGTGCTAAAAAAGACAATGTCGGGACAAAGATGAAGGTCTCTTCTACCTGACTAGCTCTGTGTGTCACACCTGGCTTGATCTATCACAGCAAAGTTTCGGGTGCTCACAGTGGGTTGTGTATGTTTACAGCGTGCTATTAGAAAGTAAAGAACTCGCATAGGATGCGCGATGTCAAGACATCCGGGCATGGACAGAGCAATTGGCGAAGGTGCCCGGAAAAGCTACCGAATAGCTCAATGCTCCGACGGGTAGATGGCTGCAAGTCACAAACTCAACGTCTCCTATCGAAAAAATCTCAGGGGCCCGAGACGCCACTCCCGAAACCTCACAGATCGGGAAGACCTGAAACCCCAAAGAAAGATCTCGAGATAAGGGGGTCCCCGACTCAGGGGTTCTGGCCTCGGTGTCCGGCTGGGCCTGTCTGCCAGAGTCTGGCTGTGAGGACGTCTCCGGCTGTGCTTCCTGCAGCCGACAATTCTAAGGGTTCTGTGCTGCAAAATCTTGCTTGCACCCGGACTAGCAGGGAAGTTGCCAGAGCGAGGCTGGGTCTGACGGCCAGATCTCAGTGATGTGCTGATGCTTCATATCAGTAACCAGTAAGCTCGCACTCTCCGGTCTGGAGAACGCCGCCATGCACTGTTAACGCTGTCCTTGGGAGGTTGAGCATTGTGATCATCGTTAGCCCAGACCTTCGACAGAAGACTCGCTGCAGACAGCCCTCGGCTGCCCCAAACACCCTGAACTACTTCAGGCCGACAGTGACACCTAGAGTCGAGAGGCGCGAGACTTCCAAGCCTGAACCCCGAGTTCTTTTACGGCAGGCCCCCGAGCCAATCTTACAATGACGAGCGGCCTTTCAGATCCCTTCAGAACCGTAAACCCCAAGTCCTAAATGCATTCAAAAAGAAGTACGAAGTCCGGCGGCCTTGAATTTCCTCCAGCCTCTGTCCAATATGTCTCCCAGGCCCGCGGCTATTCGGATGATGTGGCCTTGATGCTCGGAATGCTAGGGTTTGGTCACACAGATGGCTTAGACTGAATACACGCGAGACCAATCAGAAGGGTTTGCCGGGCATTCTGCTTTGCATTTGGATCGATCCTTTCGGACTGAACCGGGTTTCCGTCTGTTGTCGACTGACAACATGCATGCAGTGTCGTTTGCCTGCTACCTCGCAAGGATAAACCTGCATGGCAGGTTGATAGGAGAGACAAGGCTTAAATAGGCCTTGCTTCCTGCACTCATGCCTATTTAAAGCTGCTCCCCCGAAACGGCATGCGCCTGTCTCTCTGAGCCCGATCTTGTGGTGGAAGTCCACCTTCAACAACACTGGCCTCGGAGGGCTCCATGCAAGGTATCGGTGAAGTCTTGGGCTCAGATCATCGACAGGACTGCGTTGATCTGCACGTGCTGTTTTGGACTACAAGCTGCGGGTGCAGGAGTTTGGCGAGCTGCGGTGCTTGATTTGATTTGCGGTTAAGTACCGCGGGCCTAGTCGTTCCTGCTTTCTGTCAATCTTCAGCAGGGGTGGCAGGGGTAGGATGGTGTTGGGGTGGTCGGGGTAGAGGCGGTAGAGGTGGCGCTACTTCCGGCATTGTTGTTAGCCGGCTCCATTGCTGAATTTAACGAAGTGATTGAATCATCTTGGCTGCATGGACGGATGCGGCGTGACAGCTCGCACAAGCCCTCCGCCAAACGTAAGCCAAGCTTAAAGCATGTCTTAGTAGTTTTGTCACCCACCTAGCACGGCAATGCCAGCTCCGCGGGGCTCTTAGGAGCAACGACGACTGGATATGCATTCAATGAATTATGACAGCCCCGGAAAGGAGTGCCAACCCAAGTGAGGCAAACAGCGAAAACAGCAAGGTAAAGCCACGCAGTACAACGGTTGGCACTCCACCGGAAGGTTACGCCCTTAGCCAGCTTACACCAACTTTCGGGGAAACACACCAAACAAAAAGGTAAGGCCACAAAGTGCAATTGGTGTAGTTTCGGGCAGGCTTTCACAGTAATGTACAGACAACTCAGGCTCAGCCTTAAGAGAACACATGCAAGCAGTGACATTACACAAGTTGAGCAGTCCAGCATGCATCCGTAGGTGCTTCACAACATGTATTACAAATTATTGAGAGGTGAAAAAACCCAGGCATCAGAAAAAGTCCTCACATCTCTCACGCCGGGTTCTGTGGTGCCTCCACTACCACCGAAAGGTGGGGCAAAGGCCATCACAACACCCAGCTCTCCTCCCAGGCAGCTCTCTCCAGGTTCTCCGGCTGATCTATGTCATCTTCAGCAGCTTTTGCACGATGGCTTCGTTGTCAAGACCAGTCAAGTGAACAACATCCTTGCACAGGAAGCAGCAGAGCAATACCTCGGCGCAGTGACCATAGCTTTCAGCTACATGGCGCCGTCATCAGCAAATTCGGATAGGTTCGGATAACATTCATCGCTCGACGCATTGTAGTGGGGGCATCTCCCAACTCACCAGCTCGAACACTAGGCATGCTTTGGTAACTGTCTGCAGCTGAAAACATCAGCGAGGAGTTTGCAGACGAGATCCAACCCCCAAATGGCAAATGAGACTGGCGCGTTGATGCCAAGCCAAGTCAAGCATGCAGTCGCAGACACCCGGGTGTCAGCGGTAGCCAAGCAATGCGTGGAGTAGATCAGCAGTAGGGAGCCCTCCAGGGCATATACCAGAGCTGGTTCTCCGTTGCGCCAACTCTTCCCCTGCAGTCACATGTCTCTCCGGTGAGTACAAGTAGACTCCATCAGTAGGCATAGTAGGTCGGATACATGGATGCTTCCATAAGCAAAAGCCATCCAGCTGCCGCGTAGATTGTTGCAGAGCAGTTTTGCAGGAGTTGGCAGGGCGCAGCTGGTCCCAGGCAAGTCTCAGTAAGGAGTGGGGTGTCAGAGGCGCGGGCGATCCCCATGGCGGCGTGCAGAGTACTGCACAGTATCAGCGAAGCTATCGAAGCCGACCGAAACCCCAACCCCGACAGAGTCAAGACAAGGACCAAAAGAGAAGGAGAGGAAGGACAGAAGGCAGAAGGGTGAGAGGCGCAGGGCAGCACAAGGCAAGGAAAGGCAGGCAGGAGAAAAGGGGGGCAGTGCAGCAAGGGAAAGGCAGAGCCAAAGAGAACAAAAGCTGGCAGGGCAAAGAAGCAGTGCAAGAAGTAGGCAAGCGAGGTTTGCTTCACAGGCGTGTTTTACACACGGCAGGTGACTCTCCCTCACGTTTGGTGCTCATATTCTTCAGGATCAGAGCTCCACGGACAACACATCATCCGACGACGACGAGTCTTGCACAGTGTCATCAGCAAATCCATCATCATCATCAGAAAGTTGGTTGTGGACGAAGGGCTTTGTGGGGTCGGGATCAGAGCAACAGCTTTTGGCTTTTTTGGGTCTTGGTGAAGGAATAGGGGAGTCATCAACCTCGATAACGGAAGGGGCCCCAAGGCGTAAGGATTCCCAAATGGTGAGTTGCTTGGAGGTCGGGTATCCAAAGAGGCTCGGTTTCATTTGGGCATGGACCTGTTCAGGAGTAGGGGCTCGGAATCCTCTGTCCTCCAAGTACTCTCTAACATGTTGGGAGAGGGTACCAGAGTATGCACTACAGAATGCGATCAGAATGACACGTCGGGAGAAGGGTGGGACAGCGAGGCCTGCATGTAGTTGTTTCCTTGTATCGATAAGTAGGGGCTTCGGGGCAATGGGGAGAACCGATCCTGCCAGCAGGTGCCCCTCATGAGGCAAGAAAGTATCCCCGCAACGATCCGAAACCCAAAGTCCTTCCCCGGGTTTTTGTGGTGTAAGAGCAATGATCAAGGCGGGGAAGGGGGCGTTTCGCAGGTCACGATGGGGCTCGTCTCGAATGCCTTCCTTAACAACAAAAGTATTAAAACAGAAGTCACAAGGAGCAACCGATCTAACGAACCTAGTAAAGAGATCACAGGTTTGGGGTGCAAGAACAGTATTAAGCAAGACCTGGGACGAGTGTCGGGGGCTGCTACCGCACATGAACCTACCTTCGCGTTTAATGTCTTTAGGCATGGAGTCAAAAACTACCAGGAGATCACGTGCGGAGGTAGGGCGGAGTCGCATAGCAGAGGACATGACATCTAGTTCCTGTAGGCACAAGGTTCCCCTACTTCTCGGTCTCTGTTCAGATGGGCCCGAAGGTCTCACCGGCAGGCTGGGAGCAGGGGGAGAATCAGAATTGGATTCATCCAGCTCCAAAGTAGCCGGTCTCCTTAGTGGATAGTTCCACATGTTGGTGGGTCCGTTTCCTCGGGACCTGGACCTGGACAACAGAAACTGCAGTCCAAAACCGGAGAAGACCCCTGAAAGAACCCAATCTGAACTGAGGGCGGCTGCAGAAGGTCGAAGGTTGCTTCTACATCACACGGGAGAGCTCACTCAGAAGTTAGCAGAGCACGTTGATTTTCAGTGCAAAGGCATCATCAGTGCAAAGAGTGACAGTGCAAGGACCAGGCAGTTCCAGTACAAAACAATGGCACAGGGATATCAGTACAAAGGAAGAGTGAATTACATATGCAGGGCTCATATACGGCCCCCATTCAGAGGCAAAAGCAGAGTCCTTCAGAGGTCTCGGTCTGGACGAGCCGTTCGCCTGTCCTCAGCGAAAGGTCCTAAGTCGTCTGTCTGGGACCTCAGTCGGAGCCACGGGAGCTGTATGCTCCGCGCTGGGTTCCGTCGCCGCATTACTTGCTGTCGGGGTGGTGTGTTGTGATTCGCGTTCCTGGATCATGTCGCGAAGGCTAACCAGACGTGCATCGACACGATCCATCCGAGACTGGAAGCCCTCCAATCTGAGTTCCACATCCGACTTCCAGCCATCAAGTGCATGCAATACTTCGCATGCCCATTTGAGAGGGCTTTGGATTTGGTCCTCCAAGGCTGTTTGGAGAGACAGGACGGCTTGCTTGGCTTCATCGAGGCTCTTCTCTGTGCGCACAAGGACTTGATCCAGTTGGCGGTTTTGTTTTCGAATGCTATCCGGGACCTTATCTCGCTGCCCTTTAAACTCGGCTTCGAAGGAAACCATGCGTTGACTCAGGGTTCCCAGGGCAGAGGTTATGTCGGCAGCATAAGGATGTGCATCGCCCTTGACATAGTCAGCAAAGAGCTCCGACAACGCTTCAAGACCCGTCTGTACCCTCTCGAGGCCTTCCGGGACAACCTTGAGCAGAGGCTCTGTATGACGGAGTACAACAGCGAGCATCCCTCGGATGGAAACAAAAGTTTCCTTGCACTCCTCCAGCTCCTTACCAAGGAGCCGAATGTATTGCCTGAGGTCCTTATGGTTATTTTCAAGGTCCTGGCGAAGTACTGCAGAGAAGATCCTTGGTGCTTCGGACGAGACAACGCCTGTGCTCAGGTACGAGTTACGTTCCTGAACCAGTACCATGTGCATGGTCTGGAAGTCACATCGAATCTTCCAGAACAAGAAAAGACCAATTGCAGTCAGCAGGGCCTGGCATATCAAGCTTCCCAAGACAATCACCTGGAGAAACCAGACATCCCAAATGTCAAATCGGCTGCCCACAAAAGGTTCCCAAAATGTTCGGAGCAGTACCGTCTCCATGTGCCCAGGACGTTCCCTCAGGCAGTCTTTCCTAAAGGAACGTTATCAACATGACAGAAAGATGCACATGCAATGTATCTGTATGACAAAGGTGTTCGAGCTTCCTGAGCAGGACTCGCATGCAATCTGTGGCTTGCAAGCGGTGCAATAAAGCTTCCTAGTCAGACATGTACATGGAACTGCAAATGCATGCTTATCGGCTGCAGACAAACTGGAAGGGCCGTCGGTCTGTTTTGGAGCCCGGCAAGGTCGCAGTGCAGTGCAAGGAAAAGCACAAACACGCAGGCAGTTCAGTGCAAGGTTGCGAAGCATGTACAGCGAATTTGTGGCAAGGGCGCCAGGATCAAAAGCAGAAGGCAGTGCAGAGGGCAGTAAACATGCAAAGGCCGCAAATTAAAGTGGTGCACGTGTATTACTGCCCGAGCAACAGGAGCCCAGTCATTGGAGATAAACCGAGCAAAGCATCGTGACCCCAAAACCAGAATTCAACCGAGAGACAAGAACTCCTAACTGGGCTCATTCAGCGCTGAGTCATCGACTGCTGTTGCTGGATTACCAGGAGCAACCTGGCTAAGTCTTCAGGAGTAACCCTAAGCCCGGACTCAGGTAGAAGTACAGGAGCTGGCATTGTCGGCGGCGGAGACGCTGGCGGAGGTGCCTTAAACCTCAAGGCACTCGTCAGGTTGAGAGGGCACGCCTCCGTCGTCGGGCAAGGTGGTG